TGGCCGGGCATGGTGGCTCACGCCTGTAATCCCAGCACTTTGGGAGGCCGAGGCAGGTAGATCACGAGGTCAAGAGGTGGAGACCATCCTGGCCAACATGGTGAAACCCCGTCTCTACTGAAAATACAAAAATTAGCTGGGTGTGGTGGCGCGCCCATGTGGTCCCAGCTACTCAGGAGGCTGAGGCAGGAGAATCACTTGAACCCAGGAGGTGGAGTTGCAGTGAGCTGAGATAGCACCACTGCACTCCAGCGTGGTGACAGAGCGAGACTTTGTCTCAAAAAAAAAAAAAAGACGTGCTGTTAAATTAAAAGGCCAGTGGTTTTTCTAGTGATTAAATCACTTATTCATTAAAACAAATGAGTGGATATGAAAGGGTAAAAGAGTATGGAGATTTTAGTCCAAAATAATTAATCAGACAAATCTGTGAAAGAAGCCCCAATGAAAGTCCTTTAACCATAAGCACTGACCTTTCTCAAGGCTAATGACAAGTTCTCATGGTAGTTCGAAATGATACAAAATTGGAGTGGAGACTGAGGTCATACCACTGCCTCCTTTACAGCAATACTATATACTTGTATTATATTACGGTCTCCAGCCATGACTTTACATCAGTACAGCCAATAATGAAGCCTATTCTATAGCAAACAGAATTAATGTACAACTATTAATCTAAATCTGTGATCACGTTAATATTACCATCTTCTGTGGCTCATCTTAATACAACATTCAGGTGCCAAAATTAAGTGTTAGTAGAGGTACAATTAAAATAAATCGTCCTTCTTTGCCCTGTGTGATAACTCAGAATATTTATGCATGTGGTCTGATAAGAGAATTTTTTAAACTTTGAAGAAATAGGCCCAGTGTGGTGGCTCATGCCTGTAACTCCAGCACTTTGGGAGGCCAAGGTGGGAGGAGTTCAAGAACAGCCAGGCAACATAACAAGACCTCATCTCTACTAAAAATAAAAAAAGTTAGCCTGGTATGGTGGCGCATGCCTGTGTTCCCAGCTACTCAAGAGGCAGCAGTGGGAGGATTGCTTGACCCAGGAGGTCGAGGCTGCAGTAATCACAGCACTGCACTCCAGCCTAGGTGACAGAGCAAGACCTTGTCTTATATAATATTCTGTAGTTGAATGCAAGTTTATTGAGTCAAGTAAGAACAGGATTCAGAGAAACAGATTTAAATGTCTTCATGAAAAAAATCATAAGGGATGCTCTTCCAAATGGTTCAGATATTTCCACTGGAAGAGATCATTCCTGATAGTCAAGACATAACTTACTTGATACTGAATCAGCCCAAAATAAGATGGTCCTTGTGGACCATAACCATGTCACAGGACAGCACTGCCTTGGGTGGCTTTTTCACAGAGAGCCTGGTTGGCACAGTGTACAGTCTGGAAATGCCTTGATTGCCACAGGGATCTTCCTGTTCAGGGTAACTTTTACTGTCCATACGCTATGGCTCCTATCCGCTTACTCTCACCCCCATCACTCATCCTTTAAAAAGCCTCCCTGGCCACCTGAAAGAACACTGATTTCCCTCCACCTTCCCCTCATTCAAAAGAACAGAATGAGGACCCCCAAGCACTGCATTTAAGGGCAGTAAAACCAATACATGAGGGTCCAGCCTAGGGGCAGAGCACTGGGCTTTCTGCATGAGGCCTCTACCCTCAGCTGCTCCAAGAAAGTGAAACACAAAGTGATCCATGTGCATCTGCACACAGGGGGAGGGGCGGGCCATCTCCATGCACAGGGGAGGAGCCGGTCCACCGACACACATTTACCAGGATGTCCATCTAGACATGTGAGCAGGAGGGTGAGCAGGCGACAGTCTTGGCTTAGTGTAGATGAGCTGCCAAAATTTAAGGAGATAGCCAGATAAGGCATGGGCAGCAGAATTTTGGAAACAAATATCCAGAAAAAAGAGAGAGACACCAGGAGAGAAGGGTAGCAGTGCACAGATCTTCTCCAAAATGGGAACCGTCCACCCAGGAGGTCTGCTCTAAGGATCAAAGATTATGTTAGTCTAGATCCCCTCAGCCACCACCCCCACCCTGCCGCCACACACACACACACACACACACACACACACACACACACACACACACTCTGCCAGGCCTCTAAAGAAGAGTAGGTGGCAGTTGCTGGTGCAGCCACTCTTGACCGCCAGGGCTGCCCACGACCACGGGGACTGGTGTCCCACAGTCCTCCTGCAGAACAGCACTTAGAGGGTCCAAGAGGAGAAAACCACCCCAGCAACTGGGGCCTTTGTCCCTGAGGACTACAGTGCATCTGACTCAGAAACGCGCACCCCATGGTGATCACTCTGTTCACTGTGAGGATTTTGTCCACAGTGAGAACTTGGGGAGAAGTCTTTCAGTGGCTTTACAGACAATTCTAATTGAAGGGGAGTAAGCCAGGAGTTTCGACACATTTTCTCTTGGTTCCATCCTTTATTCTGCAGCTTGTAATCATCCCCTGTCATCCTCTTTCTCCCTGCACTGTTCTAATAGGCTGGGCACCCCACATCTCTCATCATATTCTACCGACCTCCTTCTGTTAAGAGAGAGGAGAGAGAAAAGAGAAACATGTACAGAAAAGAGACAGGTATTGGCGATTCTACACTAGGTTTCATGGATGGATCTCTGGCTTTTGAATAACGCACACAGCAAACTCTTTTCTAAGAACATGCCATTTTATAAATAGGCATTAATTAATCTGTTGTATGAATGAATGAAGAACAAACAGATGCCTGCACAGGAGATAGATACCTTTTGTCTGTGATTCCTAAAATGTTTTATGCTTTGGACCTGTATATAAAAATGTATTTTATATATCTTCATGGGTCACCATGATTTAGGTGCTTGCTTGAATGCATTTTAAAACCTATTGTGGTGCCAATTTATAGTCTCAGTTTAAAATGAATTATTCTTTGCATCAACAAATCACAGAAGTGGTGGTTATTTTCATTTGGCTATAGCTGTCTGGGGGCAAACATGCAAAAGTAATTTGACTCGTTATTACTGTACGCCTGTCGTGTTAGGCATAATATACATACAATCAAACATAGGAAGAAAGAAGTTCTGTGTTACACAGGAAGTCCTGCATTTATGTAATTATAGAGCCTTAGAAGATGTTCATGTTGATTCAAAGATTGAGGAAAACAACTTCATCTCTCAGAACACTCTCTGCATACATTGTAGGTAAAAGTCTCTTTTTCTTCAGCTTTTTAATATTCCTTAACTTTGAATATTCACATAAATGTGACAGTGTTTCACCTGGAGATAATTTGGTCCGATTGAACCACCTTTGCCAAAATGGCTTTTATTCTCCCCATCTTAGGAGGCACGCTGGTTTGCTGCGAAGCCACCCCTGCCGTCTTGATACCTGTGCTCAGGGATGGCTGAAAACTGTCACAGCTTTATCACTGAAGCAAATGAAAATGTAAATACTGACAGTCTTTTTCAAGGAAGATACTGCCTTGCTATCAAAAACCAAAAGTATTTGCTTTATTCATGACACGAGACCAACTTAAAGGCTATTTCTTTTCATTTAGAATGTTCTAGAATTGAGCAAATATTCTTTAAACAAGGCCTCTGTGATGACAGATCGTTTGATATACAACTCCATTTTAAAAATATCTATAGCTCTTAAAATATTTCGCACAAGGAATCTGATCACTTCTGTTTGGAAGTATTGGGACAGGGCGCAGTGACCCCTGTGAGTCCCAGCATCCCCACAGTGACAAGGAGCTTCCTTGATGGACGCAGAGCACAGGCTTTGGAGTCTGAGACAGATGGACTCATCCCTCCCTGCCGCTTAGCTCCTGTGACACTCGGGGGAAGTCACCGCTCTGCTGGGATTTAGCTTCCATCTCTGTAAAAGGGGGATTAACCGTGCCTCCTACACAGGGTGGTGACAGCAATTAAATGAGGAAAGCATTTAGCAGAATCCCTGGTACATACCAGGTACGGAAATGTACTAGGTACAGCTCTTCTCTTGCAGTTGTTTATAAATAGGTCTTATTTATTGTCGGGGATGTATTCTTAGCACATACTTCATCCATTCACTTGAAAATGCATTTATTGGGTGCTGACGGCAGGGTAGTGAAAACATAGAATACATAACATACTCAGAATAAATAAATGCAGGCGAATATAAAGACATTCTATTTCATTAGTTACACTGACCTTAAACCTTCTCAGAGAACAGTGGGTGAGGGAGATGAGAGAAGGCAGTGAGGGGCGGGGGCAGATGATGAGTTGCATTTTTGCAAAAGCTATATAAGAATTGTTATATACTGTTCTGATTTTTTTAAAAATGAACCCAAATGAGCGTGTATTTATTTGCTATGGAGTACTAGTACTTGAAATCTTTATTTGAAGACATTAAGAATCCATCCAGGCCAGGTGCAGTGGCACACTGTAATCCCAGCACTTTGGGAGGCTGAGGCAGGAGGATTGCTTGAGCCCAGGAGTCCGAGACCAGTTTAGGCAACATGGTGAGACTTTGTCTCTATAAAAAATAAAAATATTAGCCAGGAATGGTGGTGCATGCCTGTAGACCCTGCAGTAGGGGACAGCGGGGTGGTTCGGGAGATGATTGCTTGAGCCCAGGGAGGTCAAGGCTGTGGTGATCCATGATTGTGCCACTGCACTCTGGGCAACAGAGCAAGACCCTATTTGAAGGGGGGGCGGGGAAGAACAAGAAGAATAGAAGAATCCACCCCAAACATACCAAGACAAGACATCCGTTGCTTCAAACACTGGGCCAGGCAGCTGTATGTTCTCGCTTTCATTTTCAGGTAAGAAAAATAAAGGCCTAGACCATGGAGGGGACTTGCCCAGAGTCCAATTTCAAGTCCAGTCTGGGGCTCTCCTCAGCATCCAGCACATGCTTCCGACTTTGCGCAAAGGTCTCGCTCCTGACAGGGACCAAATTACAGATTCTCCCACTTTACCCAAGAATTACTCTCCAAATGCCCTGGTCTCTTTGCAGCATGCAGCTCTCTGCCCCCATGTCGCCACCTCTGAAGGACTGACTGATTCCCTCGGCTGGTACCAGTGCCTGCTCCTGCCATGGGGCCCACGGGGAGCCTGCTGGGCAGCGGACAGATGCAGATCACCCTGTGGGGAAGTCTGGCCACTGTCGCCATTTTCTTCGTCATCACCTTCCTCATTTTCCTGTGCTCTAGTTGTGACAGGTGAGAACCAGAGTGTATGTACCGGTGCCTTAAACTAATACATCCCCTGTACCCAGAAGAGTTTCTGTGAAAAACCTGTTAGGAACGGAATCCCGCCACAGAGCTGTCCCAGAAACTTGTGCGTTAGCTTTAACTCGCTTCTGTCCACTGCAGAGCATCTCGGGACATTCTTTATTCACTGAAGGAAAACCCATATTTGGTTTTGCTGGGGAGCAACTAGAAGAACCCTTATGTTTTAAACTTCCCAGAACGAAAGTCTTGCTGTTCTTTGTATTTTAAACTTCCCAGAATGAAAGTCTTGCAGTTCTTTCGAGCACACCCTTGATCAAAATGGATTTTGTCTTTTTTCATCTGTGGGCGTTTTGAAATCTTGTGTGATGCGCATCTTTTTGCCACCACCCCGCGGAAGTCACAGAATGTTTGCTGCTACGTGGTTTCAGAGGGATTGTTTACGATTAAAAATGTGTAGTGTAGACCTTCAGTTTCTCAAGAAACACATTATTTTCCCAGGAGAGGAACATGCTGTATGTGAAATAATCATCAGTGTCCTTCTTTTAGAGTTATACTTTTCTCTCTCTCCTCTGTCTCATGTAAAATGTCAGTACCCCCGCCCCCCCAAGAGAAATCTTTGCCCAGAGAGAAGTTCTTTCTAACCAGAAGTGATTTTCAGGACATTCTGGAACTGTTACAAAGCACATAACCTTCTGATGGGCTACATGCCACCAGACGCCCATGTAGACCAGCTGACCGTCAGCCAGCCCTGTCCAAACTCTCCCTCCACCACGGAAGCAACTCCAGGAGCGTCACTTAAAATTCTGAAATGGCTTCCTACCCTATAATCTGTCAGGAGGAGAAAAGCCAAGACTCTGTGAACCCAGCTAGCCTCCTAATCCCTGCCCAGCCTGGACCCAGACCTCTGTGGCTGGGACAGAGACTGAATGATTGGGAAGATGAAGAAAGGCCACAGGGCCCGGACTTCCCTGGGCCTGGACGGGCCTGCTTCTGTAGTTACTCATGCTCCCACTAGGTGTCACCCTTGTCTTATAGAGAACGTGGATGGGCCGGCCGCGTATTTTCTACAACTGATGGCTTTCTTTAGACTGTCCCGAGTAAAAACAAATTCTATTTTTACTTGACAGACTTTCCCATAGACTGGAAGTACATATGACTCATCCTGAGAGCATGTACCCTTCCTGGCACGCCAAAATTTGTATTTTCTTTATTTTCTCCATCCCACTGCAGTGTGTGACTTTGCAGAGACTCTAAGTGAGATAATTGTCCACATTTTCTCAAAAAAAAAAAAAAAGAATAACTTACTCTGCTACTTTAGGTATAAACAATTTCTACGCAGGCCCGGGCCTTGGTCCTCTCCTCGTGAACTGGTATGTTTTTTTCCCAGAAGAAGGGGTGCCAACGGAGGGGACAGTTCCTAGTTGAGGCTTGACCTCCTCTTACCCAGCACCTGCTAACGGGCCATGAAGTCAGTGTCTGGTTTTGTCTTTGTTGACAAAATAAACATGGTTCTTAAAACAAGAGAGATTTAAAAGCTGATAAGAATTGGGATAGGAAAGGGTAGTGTGTGCTTGATTTTAGGGGGGCACATTTGACATTACAACATTTCACTTTTCATTTCAGGGAAAAGAAGCCGCGACAGCACAGTGGGGACCATGAGAACCTGATGAACGTGGTGAGCCCGCGTGCGTCGTCCGCCTGTCTGCCTGTCTGCCTGTCCGCCTGTCTGCGCGTGCTCCAGAACATCAGCTACTTATCTCAGTGTGCTCCCACGTGCCCCCAGCCTGAGTAGAACCCACGGGGAGAGCTAAGCCTAAGTTAAACCGTGGCCCCCTCCACCACACACCCTCTTTCTGTAGGTTTGTGGCCGCCATGGCTGGAGGCCTGTGAGTTCCCCCGCGTTCACTGGGAGAACTTCTGAAATGGATGCAGTAGTGCTGCTGCCGGAATGATCCTTAGATGGCTCCCACCTACTGCAGGGATGGGAGATTTTTGCCTCTGTTAATTTGCTAGAGCTGTCATAACAAAGGACCACAAACTGGGTGGCTTAAATAACAAGTTTGTTTCTCAGTTCTGGAGGCCAGAAGTCCAAAAATTAAGGTGTTGGCAGGATTGGTTGCTTCTGAGGGAAAGTCTGTTCTAGGCCTCTCCTGGCTGCTGGTGGTTTGCAGCCAAACCTTGGGTGTGACTTGGTTTGTAGAGGCATCCCCCCAATCTCTGCCTTCATCTTCCTATGGCGACCTCCCTCTGTGTTTCACATCACCTCCCCTCTGTGCATGGCTGGCTGTGTCCAAGTTTCCCCACTTTATAAAGACACCAGGCATATTGGACTAGGGCCCACCCGACTCTAGCACGACCTCATGTTAACTGGCTTCATCTGCAATGACCCTGTTTCCAAATGTTTGTTCCAAATGCACCTGTTTCCAAATTCTTAGGTGTTGGGGGTTAGGACTTGGACATGAATTTTGGAGAGACACAGTTCAACCCATAACAACAGGTCATGAAGCTGGAGGAAGCCTGGGACCCACAGCACCCTAGGTATAGCCTGGCCTTGCTGGTGTTTTCCCAGCCCTCAGTATCTTACAGGTCCTGATGATCCTGAGGCCCCCGGGGATCCACCCTGGCGAGGAACAGCCTGAGAGTGTCCAGGTCCTTCCTTGTCCTCTCTGACCCAGGCCCGTGCTTTTGAACAGCCGCTGCAGAGGGGCCCATCCTCACATTAGCAAGGCAGAGTTCAGAGTCTGCCCTGAGTCCCGTGGCAGTGCCACAACAAAAGGTGCTTCTTGTTCAGGACATCATTTCTCAAGGTCAAGCAAAAACTCGTTGCGGGGAGAGGGGTGCAAACAAGGAAGCATGGATGAGCCAAGGTCTGGTGTAAAACCCGCAGCCAGCAGACGTTTGCAGAGATGACCAGAGGCCATCTCCAGTCTAGGCTTCCTGACCTGCCAATTCTTGGGACTCCTCTGGCCCAAGCAGGCAGGAAGTTGTCAGGACTCCCGGTTCCTCCTGGGACCCCCAGGATTTTCCTTCCCTCCCTTCTGCATCCACACACCCACCTCACCCTTTGCCGCTTTCCTGGGCCCTCATCACCACTCTTCCCTTTACTCTTTTTCTCGCCCCGTTCCCATCTCTGGTTGTCCACATTGTCCCCACTTCTCATCTGTTCCCAGCGCCTCTGCTCTGCCTGGTGATCGCTGCTGCGGTGGCCTCAGCAGGGAGGGTGGGAGGGATGGAGGGAACGCCCCACTGTCACTTCTTCCCATGCAGACTCCAGGCCCCTGCCTTTCCTCACTCCACCATTCTCCTGGTGCCAGTTGGGAGGTGAGGAGGGGCTGGGGAAGGGCTCGCACCACTATTCCTCACTTCCTTCTAGAGCAGGGCTGCTTCTGCGGTGTGGCCTGGACCGCTGCCAGCAGCAGCAGCACCTGGGAGCTCCTTAGAAATGTGAATTCTCCTGGGGGTGGGGCCCAGTGAAAGGCTAACAAGCACCCCAGGCAATCCTGTTGGATGCTCAAGTTTGAGAGCCCCTGGCCTAGAGCTTGGGTTCCTGCTGTCCTACTCAAGGTCGGCAGCAGCCCGGGTGAGATAGGAAGAGAGTGGCAGGTGAATAAAAGGAATAAGCTGACTTCCATCCCCATGCCTTCTTCCTCATCCACCGTATAATTCATTATTGCCCCAACCCATAGCCTCATGTATATGGATGTGAATGTCTGTGAGAAAGCACGAGCACACACAGGAACACATGCTTACCCGGGCACTGGCACCCATGTACACATGCTCGCCCACCCAGCTCTCTTTAAGAGCTTTTCAGCTCCTAGATCTTACACAACTTGCGGATGCTTCATCTCATAGAAGCAAAGATTAGGAGTAGTAGTTAGAGTCTAGATTATGGTAACTTCAGCTGTGATCAATTATGCTGTTATGGGCCCACCTGGGAACCTTCCTCCCCCCACACCAATGCCTGCCCATTTATAACAACATTTCTGGGATATTAGCACCTGCATTGCAAACTCCTGGCAACGTAACACAGTGACCCATCTCACTGGGGGCTCATCAGACGTGAATGAACTGCATTGGATTGAAACAGCTGACTCCCAATACACTTGGATCATGGCACGGCATGAACTATCTGCTGTCTATTATTAGCTTCCAATCAAGAGTCAGAGAATTTGTGAGGCCAACTAGCAAAGGTTCCTGTGCTGTTTACATCACAGCTTTCCTTGTAGAATCCTGGAGCATGAGGTAGCCTCTTGGAACATGTAGGCTATGAAAAGGACAGGGAGCAAATCACATTTGCAGTGATTCAGGCTGCAACCTGAGACAAGTTGGGTATTTAAAGAAATACATGAACACCAACTTGCTTTCTGACTACTCTTAGCTATAGCCGAGCCTGGCATATTGTTCTGGGTAACATCTACACATTCTATCCCTGCAGAAAACCAACTGTTGATGTCATTCTTCCCTCCAAATGTCCTAAGTTTATTTGTGAGAATAAGAAAGATTTGCAGAGCTGGGCACAGTGGCTCACGCCGGTAATCCCAGCACTTTGGGAGGCTGGGGTGGGCACATCACTTGAGTCCAGGAGTTCAAGACCAGCCTGAGCAACATAGCAAGATCCCATCTCTTAAAATTTGTTTCAAATTAATCAGATGTAGTGGCGCATACCTGTAGTTCCACCTGTTCCAGAGGCTGAGGCAGGAGGATCTCTTGGGCCCAGGAGTTTGAGGCTTCAGTGAGCTATAATCATGCTACTGCACTCCAGCCTGGGCAACAAGCTGAGACCTCATCAGAAAAAAAAAAAAAAAAAAGTTTGCAGAGCTAATTTTCAGCATATTATTGTTTCTGTGAACCTAGCAGCCAGAGGCTTGGCTGGTTCTAAAATGGTTTCAGAAATCAATAGCATTATCTATCTCTAACCAGATTTACGTCTGTTCCCTTCACATGACAAAGGGTGATGCCTTTCCCCGTTTCTCATGGCATGGCACACCTTTACCAATAATAATGATTTACAGCACCTGTGTTGGAAGCATGTTTTTTTTGACCAGTCCCCTTCCTGCCTTGAGCTAAGGGAACTGATATCTCACAAGCTGCCTATAGCCTTGTGTAGGTCACCCGGCAGGAAGCTCTGTACATGGCTTTGGAAGATTCCCAGTGCCCCTAAGATGCTGGGACAACACTGTCTAATAGAACTTTCCGCAGTGCTGGAAGTGTTCCGTATCTCCTATTTGATATGGTATCTACTGGCCACATGTGGCTATTGAGCGCTTGAAATGTGACTAGTCAACAAGGAACTCAGTTTATTTTATTTTACTTAATTTAAATCTAAAAACAGTAGCTCCCCTCAGTCTGTAGTTTTGATTTCTGCAGTTTCAGTTACCCCCAGTCAACCACAATCCAAAAATAGGTGAGAACCATACAAGATATTCTGAGACAGAGAGAGAAAGAGCACATTCACATAACTTTCACTGTAATATATTCTAGTTATTCTGTTTTATTATCAGTGGTTATTGTTTAATCTCACAGTTATTGTTTTATTATCAGTGGTTATTGTTAAATTACTGTACTTATAAATTAAACATCATCATAGGTATAACGTATATGGATAGGAAAAGACGTAGTCTGTGTAGGGCTCAGTACTACCCATGGTTTTAGGCATCCACTGGGGGTTTTGAAATGTATCCTCTGTGGATAAGGGGGGACTAATGTAGGAGATTCTGTTTTCTGTTTCTGCTGTTTTGATTTTTTGAAAAAGCCATGGATCTTCTCCTCTGCTCTACCGTCCAGATTTTTAGCAATGTGATGCATTTGTGTTTTTGTTTTTGTTTTTGTTTTTTCAGCCTTCAGACAAGGAGATGTTCAGCCGTTCAGTTACTAGCTTGGCAACAGATGCTCCTGCCAGCAGTGAGCAGAATGGGGCACTCACCAATGGGGACAGTAAGTTCTTCAAAAATACCAGCTTTCCACAGAGGCCTCACCACCTTTAGAAGTCCTAGGTCTCAAAATATGTAGCTCAAAAAGTAGGAAATGTGTTATTGCTCGCTTTTAGTATTACTAGCAGTTTTAGCAAAACACCTCATTTGGATGAATACTACTACTTATTAATCCACTTCTGTGTGCCAGGCATTGTTCTAAGACTGGTGCACGTACTAATTCATTTATTCTTTTAGAATATTTTAGTAAATTTACATGTACTAATTCATTTACCCCACGAGATTACTGTTAATAGTATCACTACTCTGTAAGATGGTTATTACTACTATTCACAATTTAAAGGTGACAAATCTGGGCACATTGCTGCTGTAACAATATAACCACAAACCTCATAAATAACAATTTAAACCTTAAAATAACGAATAACAAACTTTAAAATAACGAAATTTATTGACTTGCAATTCTGAGGTCAGAAGTCTGAAATGGGTCTCACTGGACTAAAATCAGGGCGTCCATAGGCCTGTGGTCCTTCCTGAAGCCTCAAAGAGAATCCACTGGCCTCTCTCTCATTCTTCACATCGCTCTCTGACCCCTCTACCTCCCTATTCACTTGCAGGGATCCCTGTGATTACATTGGGCCCACCTGGATAATCCAGGCTTGCCTCTCATCCCAGTCATCTAATTAACAGCCTTAATTCCACCTGTAACCCTAATCCCTCCATACCCTCCACAAAACCTAACACATTCACAGGTTCCAGGAATTAGGAGGCAGACATTTTTCAGGGTCGTTCTGCCTCCCACAGAGATGTTGCTAATTTGGCTGATATCGCAGAGCCAGCGGGCTAAGCATCTGTAATTGGAAGCAGGCAGTCTGAGCCCTGGGCGCACACAGCCACTCTGCCTGACCTGCACATCATGCATTGTATGCTCTTGCTGATGGAAGGAGCAGCGAGGTTTCCTTCCTGCTTTCGAGTTTACACCATGCTTTCACCTGAGGTAGGAGGGCGTCCTGTTACCCCTGTTTACCGATAAGGAAACGGGGGTAATCGGGACACCAGTGCCTGTTCTCTGTCCACATGATATAGACAACTAGAACCAGAGAGCAAAAGTTCACCCCTCCGTGATGATCAGGGATTTAGAACACACAGGGGTGTTGGGTGTTGGTAAGTTCAGAAGGACTGGGGGATCCATTGTCATTTTTTCACACACCCCTTGGAGACACTATTTCTAATTCCCCCAGAGTGAGACACTAATGGAATAACTTGCTTACTTTGTGTCCACATCCTAAAGACAAGGCTTTCTGTTTCGTTGAACGATGTGTCTGTAGCACCCTGCACCATCCCTGGCGCATGGCAGGCACTCACAACACGGTTGACAAAGGGACGGCTGAACAGCTTCACACAATAGCATCTCTGTGGCTGGCCAAGAATTTCATATTTGTTTTTTTCTAATTTGAGGTAGGAATGTTGGTGGCAGTGAGATGGAAGCAAGGTATGAGGTGCCAGTCCCTTTGTGCTAATGGCTGAAGGGTGCATGTTTGCCCTGTGGTTTCCATTATATCTGCCAAACAAAAGTGACCTGTGTGAAAGGAGGTAGCTACCAATAATTCCCTCCACGCAGGCAGGCGCCAGTGGGGCTGGGGAGTGTGGTCACTGCACATGCTGCCTTTCTGGTGTCTAGCCTCCCAGAGTTCGGCTGCATCAAACTGGTCATCTTCTGGTCACATTGGACAATCTGCCTGTAAGAGTCTCATTGGAGTGACATTAAGGGAAGTAATTGTGAACTATACTTATAGCCAAGATAACTTATTAAATCTTGTATTGGGAAAGATATAATGAACAGCTTTATTTTAAACTGTGTTTGAAGTAGGGTACCAACTGACAGAGCAACTATAATTTGCGCCTGAGACTTAAATAAAAAGCACGCATCTTGATTTAACCTAACTTTGTATTACCTGATTCTTGGTAATGATTATTGAAAGAGTTGCCTTTCTCCACTTTTAATGTGTGTGCTGCTTTAGTTCTTTCAGAGGACAGTACTCTGACCTGCATGCAGCATTACGAGGAAGTCCAGACATCGGCTTCAGATCTGCTAGATTCCCAGGACAGCACGGGGAAGCCAAAATGTCATCAGAGTCGGGAGCTGCCCAGAATCCCTCCCGAGAGTGCAGTGGACACCATGCTCACAGTGAGAAGTGCGGACGGGGACCAGGGCCCGGGGATGGAAGGGCCCTATGAAGTGCTCAAGGACAGCTCCTCCCAAGAAAACATGGTGGAGGACTGCTTGTACGAAACTGTGAAAGAGATCAAGGAGGTGGCTGCAGCTGCACACCTGGAGAAAGGCCACACTGGCAAGGCAAAGCCTACTTCCGCCTCGAAAGAGCTCCCAGGGCCCCAGACTGAAGGCAAAGCTGAGTTTGCCGAATATGCCTCAGTGGACAGAAACAAAAAGTGTCGCCAAAGTGTTAATGTAGAGAGTATCCTTGGAGATTCATGTGATCTAGAAGAGGAGGCCCCACCACCTGTCCCTGTTAAGCTTCTGGACGAGAATGAAAACCTTCAGGAGAAGGAAGCGGGAGAGGCGGAAGAGAGTGCCACAGACAGGACCAGTGAAACTAACAAGGTGGGCGCTGGCGTTTTGTTTTGCCTTTGTGGGCTCCTGTCCTGGTTAGGAATCTAGTTGGCCCTGGAGCTGTTCTGGGAAATATCTGCAAACACTCCCCAGTTTGTGGAATGATGAGAGCTGTGTTCATGTAAGCTGTATTTGGCTTTTTCCCCCTCCAAGTAATAAAATACCAAAAACTTACATTTATCAAATATCTCAGCACCTTACTTGGATATTATATTTATCAAATATCTCAGCACCTTACTTGGATATTTTCACATTGTTTCCATCATGTCTAATTAGGGCCAAATCTTGTTTGCTTCATTTTGAAGTCCAGGAATTAAATAGAGAAACTGGACTCTTTGCCCACACATTTTACCTATTCTGCTTGTTGGCTGCCTCAGCAGCATGGTGACCTTTACCCTCCCAGGATCCCCAAAAATCAGCATGCATAGCAACAGGCACCATGGGAACCAACTCACAGGTGCCCCTGGTTATATCTGATTATACAAACCTTCACATAAACCAACAGATCTTATTTTGTGACCATTTCTAAACTATAACCTATACTTCCTCAATTTAGATATTCAACAAAGCTCTAAAATGCATTAGCAATCCACAGCCTTCTGTATATGTCTGATAACTTGATATCTGAGCCACAGTGAAGTTCACATCCCTCGTTGTCAAAATCTCTTTGGGATTTAACTAGGCCCATCTGCTTCAGGCAACTAATAACTAATTTCTGTTTTCTACATAGAAAAAGAGCAAGGTTCTCTCTTCTATTCAGATTTTAGTAGGAAGGACAAGCAGCAGGTTAGCCAGTCACTAGTAGCCTTGAAAACCTTCTGTAGTTCATGGCCAGAGGCGACCCCTCACTCTGTCCAAATTAGACCAAGAAAGTCATTCTTTGTGCTGTTCTCTGAACGCATTTCAACCTTTCGTATTATCCATGAAATCAGCTGTTGACAGCACCAATAGAAGGGTTTATGAACATGTTCATAAAATGCAAAAATGCAGTCCAATTTTTTGCCCTTCATAGAACCAAAGACCGTAAACCTGATGTAAAGTTCATAACGCCTAAACCAGATAAAGCTTTTTGCTTACGAGCATTAGAAAGATAAGAGGATGAGTTGTCTAACCATCGCTAGTAAACGGTTCTCCAGATTTCACATTAAAAACTGGAAATACTCATCTGGAAATGAAATTATCCTTCCACAATATAGTAAAAATGAGTAATCCATCATCTTTATATAAACAACCCTGATTTTAAGTGAACTGAGAATTTGAAGTATTTAATATTCATTTATTTAACAAAAGATCTTAATGAGCACTGCTGTGTGCCACAGTCTTCTATGTGCTGGAAACAAAACGTGTACGTGAACAAAATCCCTGCCCTGTGGAACTCACATCTTAGTGGGAAGAGACAGACATAAAGTTTAAAGTTTGTAAGAGAAAAAAAGAGAACTGAACAAGGGGGACTGAGAAAACAGGTGGGGAGTACAGTTTTGGATAGAGTGGTCAGGGTCTGCCCAGCTATGAAGGTGACATTTGAGGTAAAGGAGCTAAGGGAGTGAGGTTTGTGCTTTTGTGGAAAGAGCACATGAAGCAGAGGGGTGCCCAGTGTGAGGCCCCTGAGGTTAGAGCTTGCAGCTGGCTTTTTTTTTTTTTTTTTTGAGATGGAGTCTGGCTCTGTCGCCCATGCTGGAGTGCAGTGGCCGGATCTCAGCTCACTGCAAGCTCCGCCTCCCGGGTTCACGCCATTCTCCTGCCTCAGCCTCCGGAGTAGCTGGGACTACAGGCGCCCGCCACCTCGCCCGGCTAGTTTTTTTGTATTTTTTAGTAGAGACGGGGTTTCACCGTGTTAGCCAGGATGGTCTCGATCTCCTGACCTCGTGATCCGCCCGTCTCGGCCTCCCAAAGTGCTGGGATTACAGGCGTGAGCCACCGCGCCCGGCCTCAGCTGGCTTTTTAAGGGAGAGGAGGGGACTACTGTGGCTGGAGAGGGAAGAACAAGGACAGCAGTGAGGAGAAAGAGAACCAGAACTCGATCCTGGATGGCCTTGGCTTATAGTCTGAACACTAATAATGTCACTAGAGTCACGAGCAGCAGAATGGCACAACCCATCCTTTCAAAAAAGGATCCCTCTGACTCCAGTTTTGAAATAGACTATAAAGGGTAGAAGTGAGGAGACCAATTGGGTGGCGACTCTAATAAACCAGATTAGAAATGGCAGTGGCCTGAATCAGGGCAGAGGCAGCAGAGGTGATGAGAAAAGCTAAGCCAGAACCAAGAGATTTGCTGATGGATCCTAAGCGCAGTAAGATAAAGAAGAGAGAGTGATGAGTACGAGGCTGGGCCCAACACGCAGGGAAGAGGATACAGGCAGAGCAGGTTGAGGCGGAGATCCAGCATTCAGGACTGGATATGTTTAGCTTGAGATACTGATTGGACTTCCAAGTAGAGCTTATCAGATGGTAGCTGTATTGATGAGCCGGGTAAAGAGGAAAGGCCGGGGCTGGATTTGCTGATGTGGAAGTCATCCACAGAATGTGGTTTTAAAAGTCATGAGATTGGATGAGGTCACAGGATAGGTGAGTGTAAATAGAGGCTGGCAGAGCTCCAAGAATAGAGATCTGGAAAAGGAACCAGTAGAAGAGACCAAAGTAGGAAACAAAAACAGGAAAGTTGTGGAGTCCTGGAAGCCAGTAAAGAACATGTCCAGGGAGGAAGGAGTGGCGGGCCTCTCTGCCGAGTGCAGCGAGTAGGTCAGGGAAGATGAGTCTCATTGGTGCCCTTGACAAGAGCAGCCTCTGTGGAATGGTAGAGGCAGAAACGTGACTGAAATGGATTAGAAAGAGAATAGGAAGAGAAGAATGGTTTGGTTGACTTTTTAGACAACTCTTTAAAAGATTTTCCTATAAAAAAGTGAGACAGGCTGGGCGCAGTGACTCATGCCTGTAATCTTAACACTTTGGGAGGCCGAGGTGGATGGATCACTTGAAACCAGGTGTTTGAGACCCGCCTGGGCAATGTAGCAGAACCCCATCTCTACAAAAAATACAAAAATTAACTGGGCATGGTGGTGTGCACCTGTAGTCCCAGCTACTTGGGAGGCTGCAGTGGGAGAATGGCTTGAGCCTGGGAGGTCAAGGCTGCAATGAGCCAAGATCACGCCACTGCATCCCAACCTGGATGACAGAGTGAGACACTGTCAAAAAAAAAAAAAAGGAAGTGAGATAATGAGTAGGTAGAATTTCAGAGGACTGGGTTTGTTTTGTTTTTAGAATGAGAGAAACAACAGCATGTTTGCATGTGACTGGGAATGATCCTACACTGGGAGAATTCCTGGCTCTGTACTCACACATAGGTATGTGGGGACAGGGTCTAGTGTGTAGGAAAGAGGGGATCGCCTGAAGGCAGAACATGGAAAATCCATTTGACAGGGAGGAAAGAAAATAGATTAATGCGGAGGCTGAGGGTGGAGGTAAGAGTTCATACAAATTTCTTCTGATTCCTTCAGTTTTCTTAGCCAACTAGGAAGCAAGATCATCTGCTCAGAGTGAAGACAGGTGAGGAGGTGTTGGAAGTCTAGGGAGAAGAGGAGAAGCTGCAAAGTAGACTGTGAGTTGAGCAGAGACTGGGTGTATTGGGGAAGCATCAGATGATACGGAGCTGCTTTAAGGACTCACTAGAGGGTTGAGTTCACATATGATTGGCAGTTGACTACGGAGCTTAAGCTTAGTAAAACAGTACAGGACACCAAGGAGAAGGGCAGAAGTTGAAAGCATGAATGGGTCCCAATGGTGTTGAAGGAGCATTGGAACTGGGTTACAGAAGGAGTGAGCTTTGACCACGAGCACTGGTCTGAAAGGGGTTGCAAGGAGCTGGGCTGGTGGAGAGGCTGTGGTTTAGAAAGGCCCGGGTGCAACCATGAGGGTGCTGAGGTCAGGGGTGGACATGGAGAGGGGACACAGAGCACAAGATCAGTAGGAGCAGGGGAAGTCAAAGAACTGAAAGGCAGGATTTAGGATACATGTTTGTTGAGGTCACCAAAAATTAAGACAAGGGATGTGTTAGAGAATCAGTAAACCAAGAGCCAAAATCATTGAGAAATCAGGCAGGAGGCAAAACACAAAATGTGAGTCATTTTCTCCATTAGCTTTGAAGTTTCCAAATGACTTAAGGATCTTTCTGATAACACCAGCAAACTGTAGAATATAAAATTCAGGCATTTGATAAAGAAACAGCATGTTTTTAAGTATTAATCCTCCATGGATGACCAATGCTTCAGTGACAATTAGGAATTCGAACACTAGTCTAAATAATTCTTTTGGCTTCTTTGTACCTACAGATTCAAATACAAAATTAGAGGAAATTTCTCTAAGAATAATACTACTAGATATCCCTGAACATCGTACATGTAATAGATTGCATAAGTGTTTGTTTCTCTTCCTATAATTTCTTCCTGGTTCCATAAAAATCATTTGAAAACATTTCTAGACAGATATGAGGAAACATGTGCAAAAGAAAGGTTAGATTGTTAACATCAAACTACTTTCCTTGGCTTGTGTTTGTTCTGACAGAGATTTAGCTCATTGTCATACAAGTCTCGGGAAGAAGACCCCACTCTCACGGAAGAAGAGGTAAGTTTTGTTTCTTTTTAAGAAGAGAAAACTCCTGTATTAAAGAATAGAGCTTCTCCCCTTGAATACATGCACTGTAATGTTACCTTTGAAAGAGCTGAAATATTCTCCTATGCCTATGTTTGAGATCAAGACTTGGGATGTTGGTTTTATAATGGCTCAGAGAGACTGACGGGCAGACCAGACAAGAAGGATGACAGGACAAGCAGTCAGCTTAGGAAAAGAAACTGAGCAGGAAAGCAGGGTCAGGAAAAATAGAGAGGGCAGGGGAGAAGAGTAGAAGAAAAACATTCCAGCATGGGAGCAGTCAGCAGTCAGGAAGACCACATCAGAAGGAAATGAATCATGGGTTGGAAAATTCAGGAAATTAGAACAGGTGGATGTAGGGAATTTGCTCCCTCCTGGGAGACAGAAAGAGGAGGTCTCCGTGTGGAAATGTGGATGCTGAGAGCAGATTAACTTCAGTAAGTACAGTTCCAGGCTGGAGCGAGGGTCAGACATAGCAGCCAACAAGAGCAGATCGCATATTCCCAAGCACCAGGGTGCAAAATTCATGGGTTAGATTTTCAATGAAAGATTAAAATTGTTAAAGCCAGTATTATATATACATATATACATATGAAATATATATATGTGTATACACACACACACACATATATATATAAAATGTCGAGCTATGCTCAGAGAGCTAAACACCTTTTGATCTAACTGCATATAACTTCTATCTGGAATTCCTAGCAGAGCAAATTGTGTACACGTACAAGAGCAAAGTACATATGCAGGTACATCACTTCCTATAGGACTCTGAGTAAAACATTAGAATATGGAGATAGACTCCCACATTGAATGTTTAAGGAGCAGAAGTGCTTTCCCTAGGTGATATTGCCCACCCTCTTCCATGTTTCTACCTCCAGAATGGACCAGCCATCTGTCTATCTGGTTGCACAGACCAAAACCTAGGGGTCATCTTGATACTTCCTTTTCCTCACTGTCCTCCAACACAGTCAATTGCCAAGACCCACCAGTTGCACCTCCAAACTGTTTTCCTTGTGTACCCACCTTCCTCAAGCCCACTGCGGCCGCCCCTCCCTAGGCCAGAGCAGTCCCCTCCTGCTGGTCCCTGGCAGCTCCTTGGCCTCCCTCCACTCTGTTTTCTACTCTGCAGCCAAAGTGATCCCATTTGGGACAAGAAGATAAAATATATAGGAGTTCTGGAAATTACAGGCTATGTAAAATTGTAAATTGCTTCTTATCTTACAGTTGAAACAGGACCTAGTTAAACTGATGAATTTTTAACATGACATAACTATGACTCACAGACATTCATTTTAGGACAAAGAGGAAAAATAAATATAAAAGGGTTTTTTTGTATTTATGTAATTTAATGTTAAGCAGTCCAGACTGAAGCTGAGATCTGAGCTTTAAGTTCTGTTATCCCAATTTAACAGAGTGTTGTGGAAAGGATTGATTAGAAAAAGAAGAGAAATGGGGAAAAGGAAGAGAGTAACTTATGAGAATATAGCAACAATTTACAGACTGAGGAATAATGATGAAAGTTTTAAAGAGAAAAATTGAGAAGCTAAATAGCAAGGGGGCTAGAAGAGAAACCTGTATACAAAATAAAAATAATAGTCATAGTAGTCATAGAAAACAGTCAAAAGGAATATTAGAAGACTCAAGAAGCTTTTATAAAAGTTGAAATGCACAGTGAGACCCTCCTCACACTAGGTTCATTCCCAGAGTCAATATTAAATTGCAAGTTAACGAATGAGGACAAAGGCCAAGAAGACCAAGTACTCTTACAAAGAGTGAGGGGCATTAATGGCAGGGACCATGCGGAAGAAAGCTGAGGAGAGAAGCAAACGGTGGTGAGGGGCTGACTCTCACTGTTCCAGTCTAAGTCAGGGTGCGTTTGTCCTCCTCGATGTTACCAGGTGATGAATAAACTGGTATGCCTCTCCCCTCACCACTGTCATCCATTATTTACCCTTTTATCATCTGCCCATATGTAATTTTTGGCTTAGACCACCATTTAGATAATAAATTCTGTGTTTGCACTTCAGTATAAACAGCAGTGAATTTTTTTTGTTCTCCCTAAATTCAAAGAAATTATAATTATTCTATTTTGAGAGCAGTTTTTTCATGAAAACCTCTAAGGTGAGAATGTTAATAATTTCATATTCATTAGGATAGTCAGATCAACATGGCAAGAGTTTTCCAAAGACTGTTTTTCTGAACTGTAAACCCTTGGGATTGTCAAGGCCTCACCAAACTGAACCAGCCACCAGCCTGTAATGAAAAGTTCTCATGCAAATGACCAGTTAGCATGTGGCAGGCCTGTCTTAAGAAGCTTTTGAGGCCAGCTGGAAACTTCACCCACAGTATGTGAGAAAAGGGAAAGCAGGAAAATGTCCCTCAGCCCTTGGGAAGCCAGGCATCTGTGAGGAAGCGTGTTCATGTATTTCCTGGGTATTTGAATGAATCAAATCACTGTGATAAAAATAAACACAGGTAATGAAGGGTATTTTTACTTATTTCCAACCATGATTTTTCACAATAAAATAATACTCCCCAAAAGTCTCCTAATCAGTACATTTAATCTTCACAATGAATGAAATCCCTGTTGATATCGGAGGTGATAAAGGATTTATTAGTGAGAGTGTGAGGACTGTGAGGGTGTGCTTGGAGAGCCACTGGCTCTTACCATAGGAAATAGTATCCCGTAAGTTGTTATTTCTGACTTGGCTGAATGCAAGCCAGAATGAGTTTTCCCACTGAATAAAACTAGACCTGGTCTGTCAATGTCTGTTTAACCAGTAATACACAACTAAGTCAAAAAATAATGGACAGGAATACCCTTTCAGATATATGTGTACCACCAAAGAGAATCCAGCAATGCATGTTGGAGACCACTGTGATGCAGGAAGCATGGAGTAGTCTAATTCAGTGGTTCTCACACTTTACTGGCCATCAGAATCAGCACCGATTGCTGGGCCCCAGCCCTGAGGTTCTGATGTGGTGGTTCTGGGGTGAGGCCTGAGAACTTGCCTTTCTGACAAATTCCCAGATCCTGCTGCTGCTGGTTTAGAGCCCACACTTTGAGAATCACTAGTCTACTATGTGTTTTCTGTCCTTTTTTGTAAAGCAGTGGAGCCCTTTTTCAGGCAAAATCTCATTCTGATATAGAAATGAAATAGAACACAATGCTGTGGTCAGGTTTCCGGGAGCTTTGGGAGCTTTCCACCCCACCTGTCCTCAAATTCCTCTGCAGACCCAAGAGAACTGGGTTTTCATGGAATTGAGGGAATATGACTGATCTCGTTAACACCGTTGAAGATAATGTGTGTAATTATTCTCTAGTAATGTGCTCCATAATTACTACAGATAAGAAAGAACAAATCTTTAAGGAGCACACACACACAGAAGCCCAGGAGTGCTCAGTATGTGGCTTGTCACTAAAAAGAGGGAGGGGGAAGTCACAGCTGGAAGTTTATTCAGCTCTTCCTTTGTTTCCTAGATCTCTGCTATGTACTCATCGGTGAATAAACCTGGACAGTTAGTGAATAAATCAGGACAGTCGCTTACAGTGCCAGAGTCCACCTACACCTCCATTCAAGAGGACCCACAGAGGTCACCCTCCTCCTGTAATGATCTCTATGCTACTGTTAAAGACTTCGAAAAAACTCCAAACAGCACACTTCCACCAGCAGGGAGGCCCGGCGAGGAGCCAGAGCCTGATTATGAAGCGATACAGACTCTCCACAGAGAGGAAGAAAAGGCCACCCTGGGGACCAATGGCCACCGCGGTCTCGTCCCGAAGGAGAACGACTACGAGAGCATTAGTGACTTGCAGCAAGGCAGAGATATTACCAGGCTCTAGCAACCCAGAGGACAACCCTGGGTAGCCTGTGATCAGTCTCTGGGGGCGTTTCCTCCATGGAAGAGAAGAAGTGACACAAACCTATACTTCATATGCTGCTTTAGTCACCTGAAGATGGTTGGAGAGGCCCTGACTGTTCTCCCAGTTGTTCAGTTTCCGAGACAGAGAGGTACGGACTAGGCTGCACCTGAGTGTGCCCCTGCCTGCCAGATGGACAGGCACACCCAAGCACATCTCCCTCCCGCACCCTCACCGCCCGCAAAAGACCCCAGCTGTCAGTGGTCTCATCTCATTAGTGAGGAAGGCCAAGCTGTATGGAAAAACTGCACTCACCAAGGACCGCAAGGCCCCCAGCCTGAACTACTGCCATTCGGAAGGACCAGGTTTTTCTTCCCCTCTTTCCTTTTCTCTGTCTGCTATTGACTTTAAGGCTTTTTCCCCCTTGAAATGTCCAGATTCCTGTGGTTCATTCCAAGGAAATTTTCACACGAAGCTTGGCCTTTGCCTTCAATGTAGGTGTTTTAGGATGGCGACAAACCATGGCTGCTGCTTTCTGCCCAGGTCGCCAGTCCTCCCCAAAGAGCTGCGCGTCGGCACCTGGGGATCTGGACCCTGCAGCTGAAGGGACTGAGGAGGGACGTCCCTGGAGTCTCTTCCATCTTTGTTCCTTCTTATTTTGGCACTCTATATCAGCAGCCTCTCCCCAAAGTACTTGAAGTCAGTTTTAGATGCTTTATTTTATTTTTCTAGTCAAAAACGTGTTTCCCCCACTGTTTGAAAACTCGTCCGAGCCTTTTCAGTATTTTCCATGAGTATTGTGGTACTTCTATACTTGTTTAAGCCCAGAACTCATTCCTTCAAAACAGAGAGCCTTAATCTTTATGTTGGGACACAGACCACATATTTGGATGGCAGCCATGCGTCCATCTCCGAAGGGCTGTGCACGTGAATGTGTATTTCCCATGGTCTCCACTGCCCACACCAACAGTGTGGCATCTCATAAGTTAACTGCTACCCTAAGGTAATCTAAGATTAAAATGTAAACATTTATTTTTGTTATGTAAGTTTATAAGATGTTTTATGTTCAATGCCTAATTTCTCAAAAGTGCCAGAAAAAAATGTATATTAACTGTTTTGATTTTATGTACAATGATTTATACTCTCCTTTGGAAAAGGTATCATAAAGCACATAAGCTAGATCATTACAAGGAGCTGTTATCTTTTTCCTAATCAAGTGTTTAAAACACTGATGGGTTTTAAAGACTCACCTTTTTAAATGGTACTTGGAGCTCCTGATCCAAATTACCTAGACCCCTAGAGAAATAAATGGAAAGTACATAAATAATTATTCATTTTCATTGGTTTACGGTGGGCAATATTGAAATATTTGAAAGGGTAAAAATGGAAAGAAGAACAAAATATGATGAGAGGTGGCTGTGAATTATAAACCTCATAAAAGTGTCATAATTCAATTAAAGTTTAATTACATTTTTTCAGAAAACAGTGATGAATTCTGTAGTCCAGTGCTTGCCAATGCAAATTGCCTATTGGAATCTTCTTCCTATATTTTACAAACATCAGTGGCTGAAATAGCTCAGATTAAGAGCTCAGCCTGGTTTGAATTTAATCATCTCTTTAGATCTTATAAGGCCGGCATTAGGAAACTTGTTCACTTTTCATTTTCAAAGGAGCCTAGTTGAAGTGCTATTATGAGTATGAGCTATGGAAAGACAACTTTTCCTATATTGATAAAGAAAAAAAAATGAGGAAATTATTTCACCCCATTGTGACATCTGTGACTTTTTGGATTTAATAATCTTGCTGTTTTTCTTCTTTATGGGCAAAGAATATAATTGGGAGGATGAAGTGTGTTAAAAATTGTAGAGACCAGCTCACTGGAATGTTTTTCCATCCCTGCATTCATGGTTTGACTTTGTGACTGCTCTACATTGCATTTCTGACATTGCAAAGTGAGCTATGTTGGTTGTTGTGATTATTTTGCAATCAGCCTCGTCTCTCCCATGAAGATGTCATGAGCATAAACACAATCATCATTGATTAGAAGATCATAGCAGAATACCCTTGGATTAGAGAGAAGTTTGCACCTTGCATTTCTCTGAATTCCAGTCTCTCATAAGCACTGCTTTGCCTGGTGATTTTCACTGCTTTGTGTTAAAGACTTGGACTCAGCAGCCTCTCACATGATGGGGTTCTTTAGTACATGGTAACAGCCATGTCATCTTACACACCTAACATTGTGCATGCTGTAGTGACATCCTTTATAGGCACCTTACAGCTCAAAACTTGTGTTTCATTTCATGCCTTACTTATCAAAAAGGCAGGGAAGTAGGTATGATCTCTAAAGTAAAAAAAAAAAAGTAAAAAATAAAAAACTTTTTATAGAAAGCTCATAAATAATCATGTAATTTTGCAATTTTGTTACCAAAATATCCCCCAGAAGTTTTCAAATACTAGTTCTGCAATGTGGCCATGAAATATGCACTGAAATATACCTTTTAATTTGAGAACCAGTGGTTAAAATAAGCTGTGATATAAAGTATTTTCAGTGTACTTTCAAAGGAACTGTAAGGCCCTCCAGCATAAATGCTAAAAGAATAGACGGTAGCACAGGCCATGAGGGCTGGAGGAGAGAAGCAGAGTGAACCTTAGAAAGACAGCTCAGCTCTTTGGAGCACTGGATATTTTACTGAAGTATATTTACTGAGGCACTATCACTGTTTTGACTGTATAGTATAGTTTTTCATAAATTTCAAAAATTACTTTGTTCAGAATCTGGGCTTGAATCTTTGAGTTCAACAAAAAGCCTATGGCTTCTTTTAAAAAGTTTCATCTTGAGCTAATGCTACAGTTTAAATAAAATATACGAAAGGTAGTTATCAAAAACAATTTGTATATTTAAAATTCTATTTTGACATCCATTTTCTACAGCCAATTATAGCAGGTTATGTGAAATTTAAAAATAAATTTTAGGACTTTTTTTATCTTGTAAGTAAGAATTATAAATCTATCTCAGTTAAAAGTAGGATCTTTGTTTTTATTCAGATATTTTGAAAGTTTAGAAGCATTTTGTATGCTACTTTTGGTATTTCTTAAGTATAGTCAGCAAGACTATAAACACATATTTTGTTTTATGCAAAATTTTTTTAATTTATCAAATGTTTTTAGTGTGTCTACTTTCTGAAATAGTCTCAATATCCTGTCTGTATCCTAGGCAGATAACTACACAAGAGCAAAATGCTATATAGAAAAGAAAATATTTGAGGAAATCTTAAATTCTGTAAGAAAGTAATTCTTGCAAGAATGTTAGCTACATATTTTTTTTTCTGTCCTGAACAAATTACATCATTAGGTCTGTTGAAGCTTTTGAAGCTACCACTATTCTTTGTGGGAAAAAGGCTAATTACTGATTTATCTGCCCTCAAAATCCCAGAGTTAATTCTAATTGAGTACTAAATTAACAGTAAGTAGTTAACACAGAGAACTAAAATGTAACCACATTATGTCACTATATATATTTCTCATGATTTTTGCTAATTAGAGCATTTACTTAACCAGTAATAAACTACAGACACACACACATATACACATACATATACGTGTGTGTGTATATACTTGGCTCTGACACAACTCTGGTGCTTAATTAGGGTATGTTCTATTATGTATTTTGAATGTTTATCCTGCTAGTGTGATGAAATTTTGTTGGAAAAGCAGAATTAGAAGGAACAAGTTTTTCAATCAGTTTCATTTGATAATTACAGGAAAACTTTGAGTTGTCTAATTTAATTTTTCCAATTAATATATTTAGACTTTAAATTGCATCCATAATTCTCTTGGCTGAAAAACAGTGATATTTTAAGACAGTTCTGTTATACATGTGACTTACTTCTGACTCAGCCTGAGAGGAGGAAATGTAAAGAGATAAAAGATTTGGCCTAAAGCAGCAAGCGACTAGTAACCTTGAGCCAGGATGAAGCCAAGGCAACGTGACTCCCAAGTAGCAGGAGCAGAGGTCGGTCACCCGTGGCATTCTATTTCATTCCCTTTTAAAATTATGAGGCTTTATAGGCAGTGTAAAACATCAGCAGGAGCGATGTGATAGGATGTGCAAAAAAGCTGGTCTGATACCGTGGCTATAATTACAGAGCTTTAGTTCAATTAGGATTTTGTAAATGAGCAAATGACGTTTTCTTCCAGTGCTCCTTGTAATAGTTAATATAAGTCCATGCAATCTTGTGATGCCATTCTCCTGAAGGTGTTGATTTCTGGTACCCAGCCAGCTTAGCTTTGGCTGCTGGAAGCACAGTAGGTACTGATGGTTACTTCCTGGAAATCTTGACAGGCTTATTGTACTGTGTAATGGGAAAAAGTTGAAGTATAATGTTTGGTGTTAATAAGTGACTGATGTGAAAATAGAAACATGTGTCTATAATATCAAATATGGCTTTATTTGCAGTAAAATCTAAATTCCTTATTCTACAGTAGTATTTTCTTGCCCTGTGTTGTATCTTTTCTTAAATACATTTTTCCTGACAGTAGCTTTAGGCAAGTTGAACACACTTAGACTGAACGTGTTTAACTTAAAGAGATCAGTCCAGAAACCATGATAAATTAGAATCTTGATCTGAATTACCAAATTAAAATTTAAAATCATGGTCCAGAAGAGAACAAACATTCATGGCTTTTTTATCCTACTGCTCATTTTTAGGTCTGTGTTTACATCCAGTCTCTTCTGTTTGTGAAGTATGTCATTACTTTTTTCAAGTTCTTCTTTGACTTCACTGAAAAGTAAGATTCCAAATTCTTAATGTAACATGAAAAGTGAAATAGAATTTTTGTTTAAAAGACATTTTTTAAAAAGCATTCAATTCAGTAATCATTTCTCTTAATACAGGAAGTTTTTTTGGCTTGCCAGTTAGATACTGTGGGTATTTTTTAAAATGTGCTGTCCTTGGGTTGCCTCATATCACCTTGCATAATCTTGTATTACAAAGGTTGATAATTGTCATTTCTCAGATGTCTGTATGTTACACTGGCAGCAGTAAAATGTTTTAATGTTGTTCCCTTTTAAATAATTGTGTTTTATTAACATGCCTCATATTTTCTGGGGAAACTTGAAATATAGCTAAACAAACAAGGTCTGTCATAAATAGGAATTGGCATTTCATTGTTAATATTTTTTTCCTCATAAAAGTAGTTACACCAAAAGTGACATATTGTCTATTACATGGGCCCAATCAGTATTAAAGTACTCCCGTTACTCAAAAATATAAAAAGATAATTCATGACACTTAGTAGCATTTTCATTCATTGCTTCAAAAGGTCTTTGTAATGGTCAAATTGTCCACTTCACAAAAGAGTGAGAAAGTTGTTTTCAGTACTGGGAATTTTTAAACTTTAGTTTTAAGTCCAAAAGTATCTCTTACTAGCTTGAACATTTTGTGATTACTTTTCCCTCCCCGGATCTAGTCCTTTTAAGGAGTAAGTCTAAAGAATGAGGCCATGAAGTCACTATTTCCTCCCACCTCAGTTTGTCTCCTGGTACTTAGCTGGCCTACCGCTTTGCGTAGCAATATCCCTGGGTCTCTTCCCCACTCAGCCCTCTGTGTCTACTATTGACAGGATGTGTCATTATGTCTTTCCGGTACCAATCACAGTGCTGCCGTATCACAGACCCTGCCAGCCAGCATGGAACCGTGCCTCACCACAGCTCTGCCCATCTCACAGGCTGCCAAAGTGAGGCCACAGGTCCACCTAGGGTGGCAGATGCTGGTGCTATTTGTCATGACTTTTGCCAAAACATGTACACTGTTGCTCACTTCTTTCAGAAGAATGGTTGACACTAAGGGGCCATGGAAAAGAACTTTTAAAAAATTATGTGGTGGAATCAAAGTCACAGAGGCAGAAATGTTAGCGTCATGCTCTAACCAAGGAAGCTTAGTGTTCCCCGCAGTGCTCTGTATCTGGCCTGGGTCTCCTCAAGCGGCAGTCCCCGCTGTCCAGCATGTGGAAGGTAGATTCTTATGACAACACCAGACCCATAGTTACCAGGAAACAAAAAGGAAGCTGAGTGTTGTGAAGGGGAAGAAATCCTTTTTATAAGAAGGAATCATTTTTAGGCCAGGTGCGGTGGCTCATGCCTGTAATCCCAGCACTTTGGGAGGCTGAGACAGGCAGATCAGTTGAGGTCAGGAGTTTGAGACCTGCCTGGCCAACATGATGAAACCCTGTCTCTACTAAAAATGCAAAAAAATTAGCCAGGCGTGGTGGCATGTGCCTGTAGTCCCAGCTACTCGGGAGGCTGAGGCAGGAGAATCACTTGAACCTGGGAGGCAGAGGTTGCAGTGAGCTGAGATCGCAACACTGCACTCCAGCCTGGGTGACAGAGCGAGACTCCATCTCAAAAAAAAAAAGAAAAAAGAAAGAAAGAAAACATTTTTAAAGCAAATTGAGTGTAAAATGTTTTCGCCATGAGGCCATTGCACCCTCTCCCCCAGGAAACAGTGCCTAAGGATGATGTCAAGTTACAGCCAGTTTGCGCTGATCCCCCAGGTCCTAAGAAAACTGTGAGTGCTTCACATGCAAAGGTAGAGCTACGAGATATGGAGAATAACTTGGCCATTTATAGCAAACTGCCTGACTTTGGGGTGAGAAACCAAGCACCTTCTAGGTCCTAGGATAGGTGAATTGGAGGTGCAGCTGCTAAAAGTTCTCATTTTCTACATACTTCAGGAGCCAGGGTGTTTCATTTTGGTTTTGTAAAACTTTGCTGTAAGTCATCACAGTTAACTCTTTGAATGGATATTCTAGAGTGTATCTTTTTTTTCAAAATTAGCAGAACAGTTCTCTCTGCTCATTCTCTTTATACATTTAGTTTTTTTAAAGTTCCCCTAGTATACCTGTTAGGCACTCTAAATAGGCCACAGTTAAGGCTACAAGAAGGACCACTCGCTCTCTAGAGCCTACAGTTCGGAACTCTCTTATTGTCACGTCCTGGTTTGGTTTGGTTTGGTTTGGTTTTTAACTCAACAAGTTGCAAACCGTGAGTTTAAAGCAAACGGTTTCCTTTTCCTTTCTTAAGCTTGAAGAGAATTTTTTCTTTAATCTTCACCTCCTCATTTAGGTAGTGAAGGCTTCCCTGAAAGACAGCAGTGCCCTTCTCTAGGAGAAGAGGCTGGGACTAAAAGCCTGAGTCTATGGGTTGAGGATTTTCAGCATTCCTTTCACAAGCCTCTATGTATTTTTAATGGAAGACTCATAAATGAACCTGATATGGTGTTCATGACCCACCCCTTAAGCATGCTTGCTTTTTTTAACTTTACTTTTGGAATATAGGACTTGTCTTGTTTTTCCTGGAGCCATGCTAGGATTTAATTCCTATGTGCTGCCCCACCACTGCCCCGCCCACGTCCTGGAAGATGGCCGTGCCTTCGGCAATGCTCCCGTCTTGAGGACAAGCAATGTGGAAAGCGTCAGGAAAGCTGAACTTTGCGTTCAAGTCAGCAAACATTTGTGAGCATTCTAGTAAGCTTGCGACCTTGATACTTTTTAAACATTATCTTTTTATTTGCTTCGAGTATCAACCATATAGCTGACTCTAGAGCAGTGAAGGGAGTAGGGATTAGAGCAAAATTCGGACTTCCTGCCCCTATGGGTCTGAGTTCTCATGTCTCTCTGGGAAATGTGTTGGCCCAATTCCCTATCTGCCACTCTGAGTCTCTTGAGTAAATGTGTATAAATGAGAAAAATTATCTCAAAGATTTAACTTATAATTTAGATATTTTCTTCTTTTTAAACTCAGGAATAAACCTGGTTTATAGATAACATAATATGGCTACTAGAGCTATAATTGGGTAGGTGACTAGAAGCATTCTTTCAAATATATTTCTTGTAAAGACATCTACTTTGTTTTAACTAGGAAAAGAAACTCCTCATTAAAATAAGATAAACATTTCCATAAGCACTTTCTAGAAGAGTGTAGCATCTGTCTACCATGCATCCCAGAGTGTTTGTATCTTGCTCACAGTATTTCAAAAATTTTTATGGGTGAAAAAATGTACATTTTTTAATTTATTGGAAAAGTGTATTGAGTTGTTGAATTAAATTCTCAAATGGGACAATTTAGTGTAAAGAGAAGCACTGGTTTTGGAGACAAGAGCACAGGGCTGTGGTCCCTGTTCCAGCATTGACTTTACTGTGTGACCTCGAGCAAATGATTTAACTTCTCTGTGCCTCAGTTTCTCCATATACAAAATGGGGATAATGATACCAACCATTGCCTACCTCATAGAGATGTTATGGGGACAAACGAAATAATAGAGATAAGCACGAATGCTTTCAGCTCTTCAGAAGAAAGGTGCTATATAAATTGAAGTTGTGTTTTTAATGATCCAATTATTAATTATGTTTAGGGTTTAAATAACAATACTGTTAGTCACGTTAAGAATAAGTTTTGTTTTGATGCATATTTCCAATTCTCTTCTGTGGCCAGATCTTGATCATTCAACCAGTAATGGTACCTGAGGAACTGAAATGGGTATTTGTTTTCTGTGCGTTTCTGCTGGTAGTAGTTCAGTTCTGAATATCCAGAAAAGACTGGAGTTTAATTTGTAATATCTTACAGTTTACATGTAATAAAACTTATTCAAGCTGTATATAAAAGTATGGTTACATGTAAATAGCAGGTATGTTGTAATTAAAGGCACTTATCAAATTGTCTTTGCTCTTTTTTCAATTGTAATAAAAGTCAGTTTTATATAAAGGCTTGTTAAAATTTATTTGGTATTTGAAAAGGTCAAGAATGGCTAATTTATTTATCTTTCATGCATTACCTGGGTTTTGGGATTCCAGCAGTCAACCCACCACCATAACAGGAAAGATAATATAATGTTCCTGGTAATCAGACCAAAGTGTATAGAGGTTAGCATCAAAAACTTTGCAGAAAAGGACCCAAGTTTGAATCCCAGCTCCATCATGACTTTGAGGAAGCTGTTGGACTTCTTTGTGCCCTCCTTTCCACATTTGGAAATGGGGGATTATAGTATAGAACCTGCTAATGGGGTTGTCTTGGAGATATTAAGCATGGTACCTAGCAAGGTGCTAAGTGCTCTGTCAATGGTAAGAGACCATCTTCACAAGGCTGGGAGATTTTTGATGGCATTTGCCCACACTTGCCAAGCAATCCTATGAAGATATGCCACCTGAGAGCAAACAGTTCCCCAGGCCAAGAGGAAAACCCATCTGCTTGTGTGTGAGGGGGATGCAGCCCCAGCAGGATGTCTCAGAGCAAATGACTTTAATCACCATCTGACCTGGCTGCCCCCTTCCTAGTCACTTAAGACTGGCCTTGGGGCCAAAAGGCGAAGCAGTGAGAGTTCTCTTTGGCATGCTTCTAACTTCTTTTTGTCTGTGCCCTGTAACTACAGGACACCCCAAACCCCCCAGATTGCCTCTTTAAGACCCACCACAACCCAGGCTCCCTTTCTGAGATTTTTCTCTGCTTTCTCCTTCTGTTCCACCCCATCTGCACCATTATAAATACTCACCCTGTTCCATATTTCTCCAGGGACTGGCCTGCTTATTTCTACCCAACTAACTGTTCCTGTACAGTGAGTGAATATCCCTCCTACTCCTAAGACTGTTTACAGTTTAAGGAGCTTGCTGCCTATCACAGGCTTGAGCAAAACCACCCTTCACTCTCATGGGCATGGCAAACTCCTGAGAGGCTGCTGGGAGTATTTGGGCATAGAGGAGAGGGCAGAGGCTCCCGCAGATCACACGCCACATCAGCAAATGCCTGCTGAGCTCTCACAGAGGCCGTGCCTGCCACTCCCTATGTCAAAGGGTCTCATCTTGCCTAGTTGCTTCCTTGCACGTGATGTAATGATAGCAACCTAGAGGCAGATGTGGGGAAGGGCCTGGCCATCTTGGTTTCAAACCCTGGCTTCCTTTCTCACCACATGGGCAGAACTTTCTTTCCTTTTCCAGAGTATTAATCACAACTCCATTCTGCGTGTGGAGGCTCAGCACTAAGAAATGTTTATTCTCGGCTGGGCGCGGTGGCTCACGCCTGTAATCCCAGCACTTTGGGAGGCCGAGACGGGAGGATCACAAGATCAGGAGATCGAGACCATCCTGGCTAACACAGTGAAACCCTGTCTCTACTAAAAATACAAAAAAATTAGCCGGGCGCGATGGCGGGCGCCTGTAGTCCCAGCTACTCGGGAGGCCGAGGCAGGAGAATGGCGTAAACCCAGGAGGCGGAGCTTGCAGTGAGCCGACATCGCGCCACTGCACTCCAGCCTGGGCGACAGAGCGAGACTCCGTCTCAGAAAAAAAAAAAAAAAAGAAAAGAAATGTTTATTCTGAGTCTTTGGATGACAGATCCTGGTTTCCCACATGGGCTACCTGGGGAAATGGAAGCTCCAGAGCTCAGCAGTTTGGAAAGTTCTCTGTCACCTGTGGAATGGAGCACTCTCCACTTCTGTCAGAAGTGAGTGTACTGCTGATTCTAGGACGTAGACGTTTACCAAGTGCTCATTAAGAGGAGTGGAGAATTCTGATACCCTAGTTAAGGTAAGCCAAACAGTCTAGCCTTTATCATTACTGTTTTTTTAAAAATGTTCTCCTTGGGTCCATCTTTCTGCCTCTGTGAATGCCATCTGCACTATGATTCTTTTCACTTTTGAAGAATTATTCAGGACCTTTCTGTACTTTTGAGGTCGCCATTTTGAATGTTTGCTCTCATCCTAGATGATTCTTAAAAATCTCAAGGCTAGACCTCGGCACTCCAAAGCCAGCTGTCTCCCAGGCATCACATCTGTTTCCAAATGTCTCCCTCGGTATGTCCCAATGTAAATGTGGTGGTTCTGGAGTGGAATCATCTTTCCCAGCTGCCTTGTTTGCTCTTCAGGGCACATTTAACTTTGAAATATTCCCCGTAGCATATACTACAATTTCCTGCACACAGCAAGCACTACATAAATGTTTGATTTGATGTGAATTCTCCTACCTTTCTATCATCCATAGTTCTACAAGCCTGTCTTGAACTAGTGCCTATCAAATCTTAGTATTTCATACTTGAACTCTTCCCCCACCAAAAGCTTCTCTGTGACTGTGAACTTCTGAAGAGATGCCAGGGTAACAAGATAGGGATGTCCTCCAAGTCAAACCAGCCCAAAAAGTGGTGGCACGGGGAAGAAGGCAGACATCTGACATGCAGATAAACAGCACCACAATCTGGCAGAGTGTTTTCTAAAACAGACACGTCATTCAAAGCAACAGCTTTAAATGTTTAGGCCCAAAGGAAAAAAAATTAATCATCGCAACATCAAAGTAGAAAAGCAAAGTTAACAGGAAAACAAAACAAGCCACAGAAAAACCAAATATTGATTCATTCCATAAATATTTGCTGAGTATTTACTATGTGCCAGGAACTGAAACATGGTGAGAGAGAAGAGACAGAACTCCTGCCTCACTGGAGCTCACATTCTAATGGCCTTAGTGCCTATGCCTACCTTTAAACGTTTGGCATGCACGTTTAAATTCTTGGAGTATTCAGTATCTCGATGTCTCCACTGATTGTACCAAGTCTCTGGAGATCCACTTTACAGAAAGGGCTCCAAAAAGGCCTCTATGAGCAGGTTACATTTAATGTGAGACTGAAATAATAAGCCAGTGAAAGAAATTCCAGGCATGGTGCACAGCCAATGCCAGGGCTCCAAGTCAGGAAAACCTGGATCTTCTCACACAAGCACACATAAATCAATACCCGGCCAGCCTGCCAGGCCTCCGGCATATCTCCTCCTCCACCATTCCTGCCCTTGTCTGGCCAGGCCCCATCCTAAGTCACTCTGTAGCACCTCAAATCAACCTTCCATACTGTCACCAGTATTAGCCATCCAGAAAGCAAGCTTGTTTGGATCAGGAGAAAAGTACAAACTACTCACTAAAGTAATTATTATCTATTTCTCAGGCACTGTTTTAGATTTTGAGGATACAGCAATAAATAAAACAGCTAATGGTTTCTGTTCCAGTGAAGCTTACATTCTAGCAGGGGAAGAAAAATGATTAATCGAAACAAATTTCAGATCCTAAATATGATGAGTAAAACAAGATGGAATAAAGTAAATGATGATAAAATAGAGAGTGCCCTGGTTTGTTAGTGCAGGAAGAATGATACCTTTTCTACTGGGTGGTCAGGGAAGGCCTGAATGACTTGGGGCATCAGTATAAAACTTGGGGAGAAAAACTTCCAAGAAGAGAAAATAGCAAGTGCAGAGGTCCCAGGGAGGAAAAGACACTGGTATATTCCTAGACCACAAAAGAAGGCAGGGTGTCTGAACCACAGAAACAGAGTCACAAAAAAGGGAAATATGAGAGACAGGCAGGGTCCAGATTCTACAGAGCAGAGTAGATCAAATCAAGAATTATACTGTGATAGCCCAGGCACAGTGGCTCACACCTGTAATCCCAGCACTTTGGGAGGCTGAGACGGCTGGATCACTTGATGTCAGGAGTTCGAGACCAGCCTGGCCAACATGGCAAAACCCCATCTCTACCAAAAATACAAAAATTAGCCGGCGTGGTGGTGCATGAGTGTAGTTCTAGCTCCTGTGGAGTGGAGACTGAGACCGGAGAATGGCTTGAACCCAGGAGGCACAGGTTGCAGCGAGCCAAGATCACGCCACTGTACTCCAGTCTAGGTGACACAGCAAGACTCCATCTCAAAAAAAAAAAAAGAAAAAATAATAATTTTACTGTGATATTAGGAGCACATAGAAGCCACTGAAAGATTTTAAAAAGAAGTTTGGGCTGGGCGCGGTGGCTCACACCTGTAATCCCAGCACTTTGGGAGGCCGAGGCAGGCGGATCACAAGGTCAGGAGATCGAGACCATCCTGGTGAACATGGTGAAACCCCGTCTCTACTAAAAATACAAAAAAAATTAGCCGTATGTGGTGGCGGGCGCCTGTAGCCCCAGCTACCCAGGAGGCTGAGGCAGAATAATGGCGTGAACCCGGGAGGCGGAGCTTGCAGTGAGCCGAGATAGTGCCACTGCACTCCAGCCTGGGCGACAGATAGCCAGACTCTATCTCAAAAAAAAAAGAAGAAGTTTGGCAAAAGCTGGTTTTCCATATGAAGCATAACATAATACTTGAGGCCAGGAGTTTCAGACCAGCCTGGGCAACACAGTGAGACACTGTCTGTACAAAAATAATTTTTAAAAACTTAGCTGGACATGATGGCACACACCTGTAATCCCAGCTACTCGGGAGGCTGAGGTGGAAGAATCACTTGAGCCCAGGAAGTTGAGGCTGCAGTGAGCCAGGATTGTGTCACTACACTCCAGCCTGGAGGACAGAGCAAGACCCTGTCTCAAAACAAAACACACACACACACAAAAATAATAATAAAGAACATAAAATTCAATTCCCAGCTTATGCCATAAATGAAAATACACTTCAGATGGATTAAAGAGAGAATAATAAGAAACAAACATAATAGCTACAATAATATAACCTTACTATTTATGAGTTACCATTCTACAGGCATCTCATTGTATTAGCTCATTTAATCTTCAAAACAACCTTAATGAGTTAAATAATTATTCTCATGGTAATCAATGATATCACACTGAAGCATAGAATAGTTAACAAATTTGTCCAGCTTTTAGTAGCAAAGATGAGATTTGAACTCAGATAATTTTATTTCTAAGCCTGAGTTCTTAATCAAAATTATGCTATGAGAGATGTAAATTTAC